TAAACAATAAATATCCTGTTTTTTTTCAAAACAGAAAACCACGAGGCATTGTAAACGTTCTGATTTCAACGAGCCTTCCCCCCGGCAAGCTTAAAAGGTCCAGTGTTCTTCAGTTTATTGTTCTTTTTTACTATACTTTTGAACTGAAATGAACTGGTTTTAGATAGTAATTTCTTTGAACTGCTCTTACTAGCAGCCAGTTCTTACACACTATACTGTGAATTAAACTAATTTATCAAGCATTTAATATAGGTCCGTATTATGAAAAAAAAGAACACCCCCCCACCCCCACCCCTTTATTTTTGCAAGGCAGCCTATTTGTAAGGCACTATTTATAGCCAAAAAATGACAAACGCAGCACTGCACTGCACTGAACTGTAGAGGGCCGAAACATCATTGCTCTTAGAAGCAATATAGCCTTGTTCTGTCTAAACAAAATCATTTTATCTACAAAATAAAGCCATTCGAGTGTTACGCGCGCTCTTACCCAATGAAAAACGAGTAAAATTTGCAAATCAAAGAAAGGTGGCATTTTTGGCACACTACTCACACTGGACTCGTGGCGATAAATTCTGATCTTATTTTTCCGTTTTTAAAAGGCTATTTCACTTGTATTTCCTTAAAATGGGGGCTATGATTAACCGTAAGGTTTTAGTCGCCTGATTAGGATTGATTTAGTGAAAATCACGACGATCTTTCAACCTGAAGACTGGAAGAATTATCTCTTAAGACAAAGACAGATACCCGGTGGATATTTATTTCATAAATATGACAAAAGARTTAAAAAGGTAAGGAATCTCGTTTGATCCATGTTATAACTGAARCACATTTCTGAGAGACAGCCTTGGTGCCACTTCGTTAAAATCAGTACATTTCTCGATGTCGAAGTTTAATCTCAACTGCTGGMGGACAAAAGGGAACGTCGCATGCCATTTTGGTAGGCTTGTGATGTCCCTGGCTCATTTATTACCCAGGTTAGACGAGGACGTCTGTCGTATKTCAAGAAAGAAATGCTTTAGAAGCTTAGGTGTATTTCCTTGAGATAATTGATTTAAATTTAACAAAATTACTATTATGACCTCTTATTTACCACAGTTGGATCATCGAATCGTCTAGATTATTGTAGATCTACGAGTAAATTTGTTTTTTACCACAAATGATTGCAATTTTACCAGTACTGCGTTTTGCAAGCTTAAAGAACAACTGAAATCGCATTTCAAACTGAACAAAAACATTTATTTCAATAAATCATGGCACATACTTTTTTCGCTTCGTCTGCCCAGTCAGGAATTAAATTCCCAATGACAGAAAAGTCGGAAAAGTCCATTGTTTTTCTTTACAGCCGGGAGTCGAACGAAAAATCCTACTAGTGGATTCATGCATTTTATAGATGTCAATCATAGACATTTCCATGACTACCATTGGATAGCTCCTCCCCCAACATGAATTGGTTTCCTCGAATATCGACAAAACTAGCCAAGAATGGTCAAAGTGTTTCCAAATTCTTTGCGTTGAAGAGTGATAATTCTTCAAACGGAGAG